ATCAAAAAATATCTTACCAAATCAGCTCAGTATTTGCCAAAACTCCTAATTAATAATGATCTCGTGCCATGTGTCCATATCTTTCCCATATCTCGATTACTTACTTTGATTTCAAAATGACAAATCAAGAACATAAATCTGAACTGACCTCCCTCACCAATGAAATGATGGTTGACATCGATACCAAACCTCTACATCCTAAAAATAAAATCTTGTTGTATAGCCGCTATGTCCTCTCGAAAATATCCTGGCATCTGACTGTCGCTGATTTATCTAAAACATGGATCACAGAAAACCTCGATTCTGAAGTGAACAAATATCTACGTAAATGGCTTGAACTTCCTGTTTCTGGCACACTTAGTAACGTCTTCCTCACACGCAACAAGTTTGGTCTGAATATCTGCCCTCCTTCGGTCAAATTCATCCAGTGTCAAACAGTCCTTCGTAACGCATTAAAAACTTCCCCCAATGAATCAATAAAAGTCCTTTGGAAGTCTACTAGCAGCAACACTAATATTCAATACGACATTTACAAATCCACAAAGGATGTCATCAAAGACTTCCGCTACTCACAGGAACATAAATTGGAAAATCAACTGACCCTTAAAGGCTCCTTCTTCTCGAGTGTAATGAAATATTCCCTGCCACAACTCAACAACATCTGGTCCATTGCCCAATCTAAACTACCAAAAAACATCTTCAACTTCTCAGTCCGTTATATCAATAACACTCTACCCACACGCAAAAATCTCGCGAAATGTGGCATATCTTCCAACTCTGACTGTTCATCATGCCTCATGCCTGAAACTCTCCTTCATGTAGTAGCTGGCTGTAAAACGTACCTTGAACAAGGCCGCTTCACCTGGCGTCATAACTCTGTCCTTCATTTCCTCGCTCGTCACCTTCCAATCACCAGCAACTCAACCCTATACGTCGATCTCCCTGGATTCACAAGCCCATCAGTCATAACTGGCGAAAGTCTGCGACCTGATTTACTCCTGGCCATCCCAAAGAAGTGTCTTTACATTTTGGAACTAACAGTTGGCTTCGAATCTAATCTTAAAAATAATGTTGTTCGTAAAAATCGTAAATATGCCAAGCTCGTAAATGAGCATAGTAATCAATTCACAAAAGTAAAATTTATCAACTTATCAGTCAGTACTTTAGGTGTTTTTGCAAAGGAATCATCTGATTTCCTTACTATGTTAAACGAATTAGGATTGAAAGCAAAACAACAAAAATATTTA